TATTTAACTAAAAACTTTCAATAATTATTGAAAATTTTAAATTTAATTTATTGTACTTATTGTATTTATTGTATTTTTGTTATAAGTTATTGATTAATATTTATTAGATATTAAACTATTATTTGAGATTATACTATTTATTGACTAAGTTAATATATTTTGAGTACTTATTGTATTTATGTAATTCCTAAAATTATTGTATTTTTTATTATCAATATATTTTCAATAATTGTGTATTTTCACTATAAATTTTCAATAATTATTGAAGATTGAACTATTGTTATGTATCAGAGATGAGACTATTAATTTAGTAGAAATTATGAGTGTTCATAAGTTGGTTCGGTTCGATCGTAGGCTATTTGGCTAACCAAATTGACCTGGTCAGGTTAGGGAGTTGGTTAGCTGAAACCGACTGACATTTTGTGAAATCCAACCCACTTAAAAATTATAGTGCAATAGTTAAAAAATAGATTTACAAATTACATTTATGATATAAAACATTTTATACTATTAAATATGGGAAATTTCCCACTTTTTTATATTAAAAATTATATTTAAAATATAAAATATTAATATATATCCATCGTTAAGTCATCCGATTTTGGTCAATTTACAAATAGCCAAAGTGAAACTGATCCAACTTGGTCAAATTAGGAAAATTTTGAACCAAAACCAATTTAAAATACTGGAAAACTTACCAACTCGGGTCAAGTTAATCGAGTTGGTCAGTTTCATCAGTTTGATGAATAAACCTAACTGAAATCAATTATTGATATTTTTGTATTATAAAAATTGTATTAAAAGTAGTATATAAAATATGAATAATTATTAATTATTTAAGAAGTTTAAAATATAAAACAATGGTATACTCTTATGTGTATCTATTAGGGTCATTTACTAGAACACACCTTTAGGGATGGCAATTTTCCTCATCCCCAAGAGGGACCCGACTTCCCCAACCCGATGGGGGCGGGGGACGGGAATTGTTTTGGCAGGGCAAAGGCAGGGACAGGGATTATGGTCCCCACCCTGCCTCGATAGGGTCATTTATTGTTTTTTGTGATAAATATATCAATAATTATATATAAATCCACTTTGTTTTGTTGTTAAGAAAAATTTAAATAATTATTGGAGATTAAACTACCATTATTTAACTTTTAAAATTTAATTTATTGTACTTATTGTATTTTTGTTATAATTTATTGATATTACACTATTTATTGACTAATTTAATGTATATTTTAGTATTTATTATATTTTTATTATCAATATATTTTCAATAATTGTCTATTTTCACTATAAATTTTCAATAAGTGTTGGATATTAAAATATTGTTATTTATTAGGCTAGATTATTAATTTTGATGAAACTAGGAGTGTTCACTGGTTGGTTCGGTTTGTTTATAGGTTGTTTGGCCAACCAAATTGACCTGGTTAGGTTAAAGAGTTGGTCACCCAAAACCGATTGACCATTAGTGAAAACTGGGTAGTTCGGGTTGTATCGATTTGGATCAATTTTCGGTTTGGTTGTTCGGTTCAAAATATTTAAACTTAAAAATCAAATTTAAATAAAAAATCATAGTGGAATTATTAACAAAATAAATTTTAAAAAATAAATTCATGATATAAAATCACAATTATATATATATATATATATATAAATAATTTGGTTTGTTTAAAATTTGATGAATAACCATAGATGAAAATAACTAATGTTATTTTTGTATAGTAAAAGCCTATTAAAAGTAGTATATAAAATATAAATAGTTATTAATTATTTAAAAATAAAATAATATAAAACAATTGTATACTCTTATTTGTTTGGATTGTTTAGTTTCACTTAACAAATCCCATGCATTGCACAAGTCCCCACTCCCCACTAGTAAAACCTAAAAAAAGCATGACGAGCATGATTTACTATTTAGTTAAGTTTGGGTACAGGTGTTCAAATTTGGTTACTGAACGAAAAACCAGATTGAATAAAGCTGCATTTGGCATTCCCTATCATTTTTTGTTGCAGTGAAAAACTCAGTATTTATAGGAGCATTTTTAACTAAAAAAAGAGATTAATCCTTAAAATAAGGAATGCCAAATGCAGCCTAAGCCAGCAATTTGGTTAGGTTTATTTATTTATTTATTCTTTGCTTTGGTTTGGTTTGAGAAAATCTCTCAATTTAACTGAAAATCAAATTAATCAAAATATATTAATATTAATATGTTTTTTAATTATAAATCTTAATATAGCATATGCTATATTTTAGTTAATTTAAATAAGTAATTTAATATCAAACCAAACCGATTTGAATTCAGTTCAATTAAGTTAAATGGAAATGGCCTTATCAAAATATCTGTTAGGTACTTAGGTTCGATTTTCAAACTGAACTGAATCGACAGAATGAAAGACCCTAGGTTTACATCTCAGGGGTTGGACTGTGAGAGAAACTTAGGCTGTTGGAAAAAAAAAAACATCCTTATTTAATTTAGAGCTTCCTCCGCATGACACAAAATATAGGACAAATGGAAAATTATAGTGACCATAGCGTTAAATTGTCATGTGTCCCCAATACAGTGCTGTTAACAGGCTAGATCTCATTTAATCTGAGTCACAATAGACCTGCTCCCAAACCAATATATTATATATGGATATGATATGTTAAATCAATTCTAAACTAGATGTTATAGGGTATATAATAACAAACTCAAAAATGGACAATGACCCTATGATATAGTTACTTGGCATCCCTTCAAATATCAAAACATGAAATCAAACCCAGGCTCTCTCTCTCCATGGTAAAGATTAGTAGTTTTCATGTACATCCTGTTCTAATCCCAATCCTTAATTTAACTGTGATGTATAATACGTAATACCAAAAAAATTGTTAAATTATAGGTTAAAAGTAGAGATCAATTTCAATTTTAATAGAATCTTAATAATGATAATGTTGTGGGTATATCATAAGAAATATACATATCAGGGGGTGTCTTTTATAGAATATGGTTGATTTGGGCATTAAACGTTTCGGAACAACTGAAATGTATGAGCCTGGTGACCCAATTGCAACCAGTCACCTAATCCATCAGAGTCGATTTAATTCAGTTCACCGATTAGAATGAAAACGGGGCAAGTTCAGAGTGGGGATCATATTCTCCATCATCGATTCCTGATTTTGAAAAAAATCTCACCATTCCAGAATCCCCGGTGGGATAAAAATTGTCCTCCATCCCCAACCCCAGATGGAGATGAGTTCCTTATGAGGACCCAAATCTCTTAAACTTGTCAAGTAACAGTATTAATTTACTTAAAACAAAATAAAATATTGAAATATTTATAATATTTAAAATTTATTTTGATATATATATATATATATATTCCAGTCGGTTATCCCTACTAATCCCCATCTCTGTCCCCACCTTGTCAAAACAATCCCCATTCCAGCCCCATCGGGCCATAAAAATCAGGTGCCCAGTGGGAATGCAAAAAATTGATATTCCTATTCACCAGGCTCATTGACACCCCCTATCATCTTACCCAATTGCTTCAGCATAGAGTTCATATTAGGACTGCAAAATATTTGATCATCAGCATTTGAGTTTGAAATCAATCGCATTAAAGGTGGTCTGAATTCAACCCACTTATAATATGAATTGATCCCTATCTGATTAAATAAAACCTGATTATATATATGGTTTGAAAAATGTTTCAACTAAAGGGGTGTTCGACAATACAATTGGTTTTGTTTTTGAAAACAAAAACAACTGCTACATATTGTTTTTGTTAATGTGGCAGTAGCTTTTATTTTTAAAAATAAAATCAATTATATTGTGTCAAACATAGTATTAACTGTCACAGGTTCAAATTTCATACAATTAATTTTCAATTTATTTTTTACCCAATGCACTGTTTTTTTATTAAAGGAAGCTTTATTACTGTAAAACAGATATATGAAAATAGATCAAGGGGGATATACAACCTTCATGAATCATAGCATATGGCATGGAAGCATGTTGATAAACTCTCGCGCCAGAAAAATTAAGGCTAAGCTGGGCCTGCTAGTCTGCTACGCAGTTTATGGGCCACGGAATTAGGCATGGTGGAGACCATGACGATAATGGATTTGCCCAATGCATCTGGTAGCCCGTTGGATGTTGTTCAAGATGCCCTTTAGAGCGAACAAAGAAGATCCATGTTCACAAGGAATTGTCGAATTAGACTCGGATTACGATTGATTATGGCTGTCAATGGACTCTGAAAGTCCATGCCTGATTCGATTATTCTGAATTTGGAAGTTACAAATTGCATTTAATTAATAATCATATGGGATGCAATTTAATCCCACCCGATTCGATTAAAATTTGAGTCTAATAAAAATTATTAATAATAATATTATTATTTGGTATTTAATAAAAATATTATTTTATTATATATATAATATAATTATATAAAATTTATAATTGTTAAGTTTAATATTATATATATTATAAGTTAAAAATGATTAAGTTTTGTCAAAATTTTTTAAATTATTTGGTCATTTCAAATAACAAGATGATTGAGATTAAATCCAAATTCGGCATATAACATAATAACCGGATGGATCCGATCCGAATCAGACTCGGATCACCAGCCATCAAAGGCCATTTAAACAGCAGAATGATTGCCTTGCCCCACCTTTCACTCGATCCCGTGTCCTTTGGACGACACAACAGCCAAAATTTTTTTCGTTAAACAATGTGATATCCAGTCCAATGAATCTGCTCCACAGTCCAATGCCCTCTTTGAAACAGCGCGGCTACGGAAGGGGAGAGAGGATCTGCTGACCCGAAGGAAGCGGCATTTTCGGGTCGGACCATACAACCGACAATACCTGTTTGACGGTTCTGCATCACCAACCTCACAACGAGTCCAGTCGTACATCGAGAACATCTCCCGTACTTTTTATTAATGGAAAATATTTCCCATAGGGCTGTGAGGTCGGTGCGAGGTGCGCTCTGTGAGGAGCAAATTCCGATTCGTCTCAGACTGTTGCGTTCCATTCCCTTTCGTCATGGAATATGGAGTCACTGCGGAATCCAGTATAGGACTAAGGGAGCAATATCATTTCCTCGAGATTGAACGTGTGAATGTGTGATATGTTGGCGGCTTGGAGATCTCAAGCTCGTTCTTCCTTCCATGCTTTGCGGCCACGGAAGTTAGGGTTATGGGGCACCCATCGTTCCCTATCCTCGTCCTCGGAGAATAACCAAGGGTTTCTAGACCTGCAAGAGGTGGAGAAGGTTCTCAGCGACATAAAGGCAGACGACGTGAAGGTGATTCCCGTTCGACAGCACTGCGATTGGACTGATTTCATGGTGATTGCGACCGGTAGGTCAACCTGGCACGTGAGGAACATCGCCGAAGCCCTAGTTTACAAGGCAAGTTTGCTGGTTTGATCGTAACCCTAAATGTAGCACACCTGGTTCAGTGTCTCGCTTCTATTTATACAGATCCACTCACACGGAATATGTTTTCTTCATCCCAAATTCGAACTCATAAAACTAGTACTTAACGTTATTCATTAATGTTAAATAAACAACTCTGTTTTTGGTGAATAGACGAAGCAGAAGCAGAAAGGTGCTCAGCGGTTGCTGTTGCCCAGTGTAGAAGGGCGTGAAGGAGGCAAATGGATTGTCATCGATTCTGGTTTGTAATGCACTTGGAAAACCACATCTTGAGCAGCTGCCAATTGTTTTTAGTTTTCAGTTGCTGCTTTATTCCTTGACTTACCAATAACCATGAGCCACGTTCTTCTTGCTATTGGTTTTCTTTAGGCACGGTTATAGTTCATGCCCTCGATGAGAAAGCAAGAGCTTACTACAATTTGGAAAGCCTTTGGACGACAGAAATATCCCCAAAGGGACCCAATCAGGTTAGTGTTTTAGTTTGAAATTTAGTCAGCTTTTCATTCTGAACCCATAAAAACGTCAGAGCTTACCTTAAAAGGCTTTTTTTTTGTTTAGTTGATATGGGAATATTATAAATTAACCATGTATATAAAATAGCAGCCAGTGGTAATACCTTGAAGATTTTATTATTCCATCAATAAGAATATAAGACAATAGATATAAGGTAGCAGTACAACTTGTATCAAACATTGTAAAGAAACTTTAGACCATTATAAAGGGGGTAATTCTTTTGACCGGCCTTGTAAAAGGGACAATCTACATGCAGTAATTGGAGATCCTAAGCTTTTCTTCATATTCATATTGATACTATAGGAGTACAACTTGATTAGAAAACCTTGTAAAGGGACCTGATTTATGATATTGTGTCCAAGAAACTTATCCCAAGGATCAAAGAAGATTAACTTACACCATGGATTGTACCTTGAAGACAAGGTTTATGATCATGTGTGTAGACACTATACGGGATACTGGGGTTATGAGGTTTTAGGAACCTCTGCTTTAGGGTAGAAGGATGTCTTGATCAGTTCCATGTTTTGCTCAACGAAGGTTGTACTGATCTATGGATGCAGAGAAATGGGATAACTTAAGGGCTATTTGATAACAGCTGAAGTGGCTGAACTGCATGGGCTTATTGCTTTGTCTTATAGTGAATAAGTTATTAAGGAGATTGTGAACTCCTCAATTGATGAAACTAAAGTTGGGTTGATTACCATAAATTTGAATATTTAATTATTATTAAAGATAAAGTACTAAGTCATTCAGTTCAGCCACTTCAGCTGTTCCCCCTAGTTGTGTGGAGGTTTAAGACATTTCTTTTTCTGTTGGAAGATTTTCTTGTTCCTCTTCTTTTATATGCTGAGGTTTCTTCAAAAGGGGGAATAGGGGTAAACTTGCAAGAGCTAAATAGGCACATTAATGAGTACACACTACCTATCTGAACAAATAGATCCCACACAAGGAGGCTTGAGAAGAAAAAAAAGTGTGCTAGATTGCTTTTCAAGTAAAGGATTTATTTATTTATTTTTTTGCGATGGGTAAGTAAAATATTATTGTGGGAATTGTCATTTTTTTAAAATTTACCTAGGTGGGTAACATGTGGTTGTTAACACAAGTTGATCAAAGCACTCTAGGGGAGGGATCTAGAAGGAAGGACTTTGCAGTCTCTCTTGCTTCTTAAAAATTGTGCACTATGCATTTTTGGCACTGAGATGGAAGTTTTTTATGTTCTTCCGTGAACATTAGGTAAAAAATTGCTCGTTTGAAAGTTTGCTGACTATAGTAACTGCCAAATTATCATTAAAGCCTGACAATCAGTGAAAAGAAAGGGTTCTGGAGCTTAGAGTTTTAGTGCTGTTCTTTGTTAAAATTCTGAGGGTTGACATTTTCATGGTAGAGAGCCTCTTGTGACATTAGGTAAAAATTATTTGTTTGAAAGTTTTCTGACTCTAGTGACCGCCAAATCATCAGCAAAGCCCGATAATTGGTGAAAAGAAAGGGTTCCAGGACCTAGAGTGCTAGAGTGCCATTTTTGGTTAAAGTTCTGCAAGGGTATAAATTTAAGACATTTTCATGGTAGAGAGGCATCTTGTGTCAGATTTCTCTTAGGAATGATTCTGAAGATTAAGCTTTCTGGAGCCATATAATTGAAGGAAGGTCCTTGTAAGTCTGAGTGATAAGATCCCTTGTATTAAATAATACCCATTGCTTACCCCAATATTCTTTTTTTTTTTTTGGGGGGGGGGGTGGGCTTGGCCAACATCTGAACTTTTGACCTTGTTTTTGATCTGGTAATTGAGATGATAATTCAACATCACTTCCAAAGGGGAGGTGCAGTTTTGACCCTGTGGAACTGTAGGTTCTTCATGGTATGGCCAATGGGTCTTATGTGCACTCTGCATTGTCCTCACCCTAAAGTCACTACTAACATCGACTAACCCACCAACTAAGGGTCTGGTAAATAAGCAGCTTAATGCAACTGAATAAAACCTAAAGGAACAAAAAAGTCTTCAAGGTCAACAAACAATAGAGTTTAGACTGTAGTCACCAGAAGTGCTGTGATGTGGAAACATTCCTGAACTAACTACAATTTGTGTTTTAGGGTGGAAATGCCATAAAAAAGGAATTTGGATTTATACAGAATGTCATTAAAATGCAAGGAGAGAGACAAACACCCTGACATGCTGGTTGCTGCAGATTTTTCTTTAACGCTCTCCTTTATTCATGTTGCAATATAAAATTGGAAATTATACATGTACACACTTGTGTAACTCTTATGTTCCTCTTCCTCTTTCCTCTTTCCTTTTTCTTTTTTTTTTTGGTTTTTTTGTGTGCGCACGAGGCATATGCCTCTAGCACACCTCATGAAAAAGGTGTATGCCTCTTTGCACCTGAGGCGTGTACACCTCAGGGCGTTTTGGGGGTGTGCGGTGTGCCTCCAGGCGTACGCTTCCCACACCTTTTAAAACACTGATTCTATATAATATATTAATTAAGCTGTATTTGGAGATCAAATTTGATGCTCCAAGGATTTGCTTCCACTCTACCATACAATCTGGTAACTTAGGTTTAGACTGCAAAACTAAACCCCCTGTCTATAATTTTCATGCTATGTTATGCATGAAATGGTAACAACATGAAAGAAAAGGTAGGAAGTAGGATGCAGCGTAAGGGCTGGGCATTGTGGGCAAGCTGGTTGAAAGTTTATATGTTAATGGGTGAAGATAGGCCAGCACTGTGGGTAGAGCAAGGTTAGAATGATAAAATTCATACCAGATGAAAACACTGGAAATGTCCATTACATGTTAAGGATCTGAGCAGCGTAAGGGCTGGGCATTGTGGGCAAGCTGGTTGAAAGTTTATATGTTAATGGGTGAAGATAGGCCAGCACTGTGGGTAGAGCAAGGTTAGAATGATAAAGTTCATACCAGATGAAAACACTGGAAATGCCCATTACATGTTAAGGATCTGAGCAATTGAGTTGAAGTATTGCCTAGGTGAGTGATTCATCTGTCTAGGGCATCTATTAACTACATTTGGTCTCAAGGTGTAAGTGGCTAATATCCATCTGATTTAGCCATGATATGTCTGCCACTGGATCTGGCTTCTGCTCTAGGTTTTGTTGAGCAAGGCTAGAATGATAATATAGAGCAAAATGTCTATTAAAGTTGAGAACACGAGCAGTTGAAGCTGAAGTTATTTTTGCCTTGGTGTATGATTCAACCGGTTAGCACATGCACTAACAGTATCAGAATCCAAGCAGTAGTTGACCATCATGCATATGACTTGGCTGTTGTCTGTACTTAGCCCTGTCAGTTCATCTTAGTTTAAGGATATTACTTGAAGCTTGTGTAATAATACTAAGATTTATAATATTTTTTTATAGGGTTCAACATATACTTCTTACAAAACATCATATGAAATATTCATACCATTTGGTGTTCCTGTTGCCAAAATCTCTCTCTCTCTCTCTCTCTCTCTCTCTCTCTCCAAAAGAGTACAATATGCAATTTCAGAAAACCTTTTTTCTTTGGTGGAATCAAATCCTTTTAATTTTCTGACATACTCAACAAAGCCCCACCCCACCTGGTCACATGAAAGCTGCAAATCTTCCAGCCAAAAAAAAGGAAGGAAAGAAAAGGAATGGTATCTTGAAATTGTCTGTAATTTCCTCTCACCATTTCATGAGTGAGCTATGGTTGGCTTGTGCTGTTTTATGATGCTATCAGTTTATCCAGACACTTGGCAGTATGTGTTGTTAAGGGTGTAAGCTTTGCACCAGCTGGGTGAGGATGAGGTCACAGGTCGGCTATGCCTAGAAGCTTACTCAGCCGTCCAAATCTTGTCCTATATGCATTTTATAGGATTTCAAATAATATGTACATATTTTACAAGTCTGCATTTTGTGCCTACCGTTGTTTGTCACTAGAAGATCTGGACTCGTTTTACAACCACAACCTCTCACAAGGTATTTCTGAGATCTATGAAGTCTGCAGAGTCAGATGGAGTTAGTATTTTGAATAAAAGATGAGTCCAGCTGAGTGGCTGACAAGGTGGACCTTTTCAGTCCACACAAGTTGTAGCATTGTGTGGCAGTATCACTTGCACCTATGTAAAAACTAGATGGTTATGTTATATTGAGCTTCTGTCAAACTTGTTTTGGTTATTCAGGATTTGGAAAGAGCCCTTGTAAAGACCCGTCGGAAGAACAACTCCAAGAAGAGCATCCAAAAGAGTATCTGATTTTGAACCTTTTGCTTGGTGGACCAGGTTTCCCTTTCCCTTGTACATCAACTCCAAATGTAGCATTTAATAATCCGTAGTTAAGAAATATATATTTATCATCTTCTTGTTGCCTGAATTTTTCATGTTCAAGTGGCTGTCATGTTGGATTAAATATCCTATTTATAATTTGATTGTCAACATGGCAACATTCTGGTGGGTTTAGTGTAGGAAGACATTTTTTTTGTTGGTAAATGTAGGTAGACGTGTTGGTCGCGTAGCTTTCTTGTTCAGAACAGCAGTGCTTCAAAATGAGAAAGAACATCAACTGGTCACTGGAGAGTTTTAAATTTTCATGATTGCCTCCGCCATAGGAGGATGGGTTGCCCTACCGGTGTCTGATAGCAGCTGAGATACGGGATATGATAAAAACACGAACGGTCCATTTGGTTCGTCGGAATAGGGGTCTAAAATCGGAATCCAGAATGGGCAATTTCGATTCCAACTCTTTGGTTGAACAGAATCAGATCTCATTCCTATTCCTGGTGGAATGACATTCTCCCACTTGAGTGAATGGCTATTCCCTCTCCCTCCCTTGGGAATGAAATCCGATTTCGACTGATTCTAATTCTCATTTTAATTCTTGATTGAATCATACTATGAGAATGGACCATTCTGATTCTGATTCCTGAGGGACTATGATTCCGATTCTGGTTCTGACTATATTAACCAAATGAACACTAAGTGTTTTATGGTCAACTGTATCTGGAGTCTATCCAGCATTGAGTACAAGGAAAGTTACCGGATGCCGAAACCTCAATTTTCAAATAGTAACTACTATGGGGCCATTTGAAAGCAGCTGAAAATGTTGAGCTGAAAAGCTTATTGTTTTATCTTTTAGGCAGTGTTTGGTTTGAAGGAAAAGGTAGGGAAAGAAAGGGAAAGGTAGAAAAATCTTTACAAATCTTGTATAGATTTCCCTGTCTTTTCCTTCATTTCCCTACCTTTTCCTTCAAACCAAACATTGCCTTTGTGAATAAGATTTTGAGGTTGTTAATTTCTTAGTAGGTGTTTGGCATCAAACCCATTGGTGCTGAGAACATTGCAGTGTTTTCTCATAAAAATGGTGCTGGGCATGTGGAGTTATGAGCACTTATTTTTTGTTTGGAATCAGTGCTGTTGTATAGGCGTTTTCTGAGAAAACAGCACTGGTTTTATTTGGTACTAGTGTTGACAGTAATGTTTCAGACATTGATCTATATTATCCAACATCCAGGATGATGTCACATTGATGCAACGCCATTGCACTGCTGGTAACAACATGCCGTTTTCTCAGAAAACATTAAATTTGGTGTTGTTCCAAACTACGCTTTTTCGATTTTCAAAGTGTGGTCTAGAGCAACATTTGTTTAAAGCACCGCTTTCTCTGATGTAGTGTCTGTGTGGTGCTGTTTTCTCAGAAAACGGCATTGATGCCAAACATCCACTTAATGGCTGAAACTGAAGTTTATAGACTAGTATCCTTGAAAATTTTATTATTCAATTATTTTAAGAACTAAAAGACAAAGCAATAAGCGTTACAGGTCAGCAACATCAGATGGCAAGTGTCTTAAGACGGGCCTAAACTGTTTAATTGGAAAATTTCAGTTGTGGAATTGATAGATTAAACTAGACTACACGCTAACCCCCCCTGTATACAGATTGGCTGCAGTTGATGGCGTTAAGGACTGTAAACAGCGTCTAACATGCCCTTGACATCTTGTGTGCATCCCAACACTTGTGTGTTCACTCTTGAATGGTTACCCAGCCCGTTGTACACGTATTTGTAGCAGATCCACTTGATGAATTAATGAAGTGGCCTTTTAACTTTAAGTTTCGTTGTCGGAACTGAGTGCCTTGGGTGCAGGGCGCATGAAGCCATGAACATTGAGCAATCCAAGGCGGCCTGTCTTTGCCATCACTCCTATTTATACAGAAGACCAGTAAGGTCTATTCCTGGTTTTAGCGGTGGGACTTAAAGATTAATTCCAGCCTTCACCCAGGTTAGGGTGGCTGTGAGTATTGGGGATGCGCTACCCCCTGTTCTGTAGCCCCAGGAAGCGAAAAAAGATGCTGGTATCATTTAGATATTCTAAACGAATGATGAGATCAATCATCTGAGTCTCTGAAATTTGTATTTCTTTTGGGAAAATGATCAATCAGCCCAGATCAGAATTTTATAGCCCCAAAGTACAGGGGGAATGCATCCTGACTGTGAATTGATGTCAAATTCACGGGCAGTGGTTTATAGGGGGGAGAGGGTTAGTAGTAGGGGGGGTTGGAATTCAGAATTCTGCATTGTGTGTATCCGTATTTGTCCGATTTTTTTTTTCAGAAAATTCCATTACCGTGACCTCTCGGTTGTGATCAATTTAGTGTAGATCCAAATTTTCCGCACACACAGGATGTTGCAAGTTTCTATCTTTTTATCAGTGTAGATCAAATGTTTAACCCTTTCACGCCAAGGTTGACCAAACCCCACCCCATTTGAATTTTTTAGGTACTGGTTTTGACGTTGGTCGGAACACGATTGGATTGTTGCGTATGGGATAAGGTTGGCCCAACCGGCATCCCAAATTACACTTTATGCATGGGCATGAATCCGATGGGCCTGTGGCAGGGTGATGGACTGATGTAATTAAGGTTAAATTTGAAAAGAATATAAATATAAATATGTAGAGTATAAAGCTTATAATTTATATTATTTTGTATATACTTATACTGTACATATTTGTATTTATACTTTTTCAAAACCGAGCCTAAGGGTTTTTAAACTGCAGTAGAGTTACGAAAGGAAAATTATCTTAGGCCCTCAATAAGGCCCAGAAGAGTATATCATCAGCCTATTACAATCCACGTTCAGCAGTTGACCCTAAATAATATGGGCCCATCGTATTCCTGTTTGAGTGATATAGACTACTAAATAATCTCTCTCTCTAACATAGTAACATATTCCCTATATTAAAAAAAAATCCCAACATTTTTATTGCAGGGCGCATGGATCCTGCACGGCTGTACCCCATTAAATCGTATTATATAAATAGTAGAATGAAAGTATGAAATAGAACAGTCACAGTCACCACAAAAGACTCTCTCTCTCTCTTTCGCAGTCTCCCACTCTGAAAGAAACTAACACAAGATAATACTTTTAATCCAAAATAAACACGCGGGCGATTCGTACAGTTGTACCAGCAACTGACGCCATTGTCATTGGCGTGAAACGGACCTTTAATTCGGTATCTTATCTTTTATTTCAATCAAAAAAAACTACCACCAAGATGGAAAATTCTCGTTCTCCGTCCCTTGTCTCTTGGATGTTGGATCCTTTTCTTTTTAACCAATTTAAGGCAATGTGATTTCCTTGGGGTCGGGTTTTTTGCTCAGTAAAATAAAATAAAATAAAACTTCTCCCATAATCCGGCTTTTAATGGGTCAGATTTCTCTTTTGGTAGGTCTTAAAGGCAAACTCCCAGTTCCCTCGGCTTAAAACGAGAAACCTAACCCATTTCAGGAATAATACCTCCTTGTTTTGATGCTTTCTCTTCTTTTTTTCCCCGCCTCTCTTTGACACTAGAGATGACGCGTGTGGCATGTACTAGCTTCGTCCAGCAGCCTTGGTAGGATTAATCAAAGCAATTTAGGGTACGATGGCTTTGATGTGGCCGCTTGGCAGATTCTTATTGAACTCGAGGACTCGTATTATTGAGGGAAAGCTCTATCTTCTAGGCTTCAATCTAAAAATGGAGATGAGGATATACATTACGATAATCAAGATCACAATTGTTCTCTTGTCGCCTCAGCGGGAAAAAGCTGCAGTCTAAGTCTACTTTGACTACACTTAGACTATGGCTTTACTACAGTGACCATACTGTCTCGCTTACATCTAGAATCTCTCTCAGATGGAGATTGGAGGCCCATCTCATCGTCTCTTCACGCTTTCTCATGGCATCTTACATGTGGCAGCTTGGGTGACAGCCTCACTGGTTGCCAACGTTGAGACACTTGGGCTTGGGCCGCGTGTTGTATACATTAATTTAATTGGATAAAAATTAAAAAAGACTGCTTACGAGAAAAATTAATAAAGAAATTGGTGCAAGGAGATTCTTAGGCTCCATTTGGAAGGAGTACAAAGACAGATATATAGAGTGCAAACCTTGTATTTTGTATATATTTGCACAGTACATATTTGTGTTTGTACTCCTTCCAAACTGAGCTTTATAAGGACTGAAATTCGAGGCTATGAAGAGGGATCACGATTTGTAGTTGTATTCCATTTAGGATCCACAAGTGGCCCTATAAGGATTGAGAACCGAACAATGAGCAAGATGATCGGAATTCGGCAATCTGGCTTTGATGATGACGCCTGGATCCAGTTAGAACCTCTGTCAACTACAAATTTCTCTTGGGAGCATCCATATGTTTCAAGATTTATTGATGCTGAAATCAACAGTGGGAATAACATTACTGTCCATAAGTTCAATTTGGATAAGATTGTTGAATATTCCATACATGAAACAACACGTCAACACCAGGAGTAAAGTTTCAGATATTGGGAATAGGTAATATCAAGGTTGTTAGGTTCAATGATGACAAGTCATCAAGTTCACCTGATGAAAGTAAAACCTTAGCATCCTCTGGAAATTGGGGCACTCAGAGAACAGAGGAGAGCAATGTTGCACCTATAGAAATTATAATTGAATTGGGAACTGTTGGGGTTTCTGTAATAGACTACCGACCATGAGAGCTTTTGTATCTATATTTGGAGAGAGTTTTTATTTCATATATTCAACTGGTTATGATGGTGGCCTGGTGGGACTACCAGCTGGTTCAAGATCATTATTGGTCATTTGCAGCTTGACAACCAGCTCCCTCAAACGTTGATGCCTGTACTTTTGGCACCTGAACAAGCAACTGAAATGCATCATCCAGTTTTCAAAACAACTATTACAATGAGGAACCAGAGCAGTGATGGCACCCAATTTTACCCATATGTTTATATACGGGTAACTGAAAAGTGTTGGAAGATTAGCATTATTCATGAACCAATTATTTGGGCCTTTGTGGATTTCTATAATAATCTTCAGATGGATAGGATCCCCAAAACCTCTAGCATCACCGGAATTAATCCAGAGATAGGAGTAGACCTAATAGATGTTTCAGAAGTAAGGTTAAAGTTGTCA